ATTGTGCTTGGCTTTTTACATAATTATGTAACAGTAACAGTACTGCGTAGCCTTGTGATGTATTATTGTGGGTGGCCTTTTACTAGTAAGCACTAAGTAACAGTAATCAGCTACCTAGCCGTATTCTTACTGCTTTGTGCGTGACTTTTTGTTAAGTCATTTGCGTGGCCATTTGTTGCGTGACTTTTTGTTAAGTCATTTGCGTGGCCATTTGTTTCAGCACGGTTGCATGGCCCTCAAACAACATTATATCGTATTCTTACTGTTTTGTGCGTGACTTTTTGTTAAGTCATTTGCGTGGCCATTTGTTGCGTGACTTTTTGTTAAGTCATTTGCGTGGCCATTTGTTTCAGCACGGTTGCATGGCCCTCAAACAACATTATATCGTATTCTTACTGCTTTGTGCGTGACTTTTTGTTAAGTCATTTGCGTGGCCATTTGTTTCAGTAAGATTGCGTGGCCATTAATTTAGAGAGCGTGGCCATAATGAATCGTCGATCTAACCTTCAAAGCGTTCGCGGAGTAGCAAATTAATTTACTTTATTTTTATTCATTTGGATTTTCTGAAAGTAATGCCTGAATCTGTAAATAATTGTATTTAATTTCAATATAAAGTAATTTAAAAGAAGGTACTTGCAAAATAATATGTGCCTTGCAATGTAATGCACATCGCGATCAGTATTATTGCATATATTACTTGCTATACATAACTGCAAAATAAATTTGTTATTTATAATTATTGAATGAATAAATAATTAATTATAGTTACCCTTTATTATAATATCAATTTAACGATCAAGCACTAGGCCAGCTTGCGTGAAGTTATACGTAAGTAGTAAGTGTAAGTTACTTGTGGTAAACGTATTTATTTAAACTACTCAGGTTATTCTACTTCGAGTCACTTGAGTGTTGATTTTTGTTATTATATTACAAAATTGCACTAGATCACCTTACCACTTAAATAATACCTGTAACTATTCCTTGGGTTACATAAGAGCAATATTTTCCGTTTGGATTAATAAATCTAACACCATACACACAACTTTTTTTTTCAGTGTAAAATATCCACTAATCACTTTATTTATTGATGCAAGGTGTAAATGAAATTAAATATACGTCAATAATTGACACTTCAGCGATTATTGATACCTAGGTACTTGTAAAGTAGTCACCAGTTCTTATTTGGGTATATTATCTATCACATATCAATTCGCACCAATGTGAAATGATTATGTGAATTAAAATACTTGAAGGTATCATCATGTGAGCCATACGATTTAATCAACCAGTTTGACCACGATTGACTTTTCTACGAGCTATGTGCTTAGACACCCTTGTGCTACTTTGAATTCGTCACATAGTTCATCGATATGCTCTAAGGTTCATTGTCACTTTTTCGTTTTGCATCAAGTGCTGTACTGCTTTACTTTGGACAGAAGGAGATTAACTTAAATTGGAAACAAAACGAACAGGTATGCTTACCTGCATATCGCTGCTTTTCAAGAATAGCGGTTCAACTTGAAATTGATCCTGTTTTTTTCTGACATTTATTCACAAAAGGCAAAATTTTGATGTGAATTAGACTACAAATGTTTTCGTTAGGTATAATAAGAGATTAATGACAACATTGGGGTGGTATTCGTTAACTTTGCGTACCACACACTACATGGACCTGACATATCACTAGCTTTTGAGGTAGGCCGCCATAGTACATAGTTATCGATATATAGGACTAAACCTTGAGACAATTGTAGACCAAACATTGTCAATTTTCATAAACAAGCATAGCTCCTGTCTAAGAGGAACTGTAGGATTTTGCGCTCCTTCGCATTTTATGGTCATGTTGATCGCATAACTGATATAACTTATAATTTTCAGTTTTGAGTGCGTACACTGACGTAACTCCAATTTACAACTCATGGATCACTCCTTCGTATTTCATGACCATATAGATTATAAACTGACTTAACATTTTTATAAGTAACTTCCATTACTTATAAAACATTACAATTTTCACCTTATGGGGCACTCAAGGTGTTTTCACTCCTTCATATTTGTTGTTCTATTCGGCTAATAGTTACAGGCACTATTTGTTGTTGTGTAGTCGAATTTATCAATATCAAGCGTATTTGTTGAAAACATTTTTTCTTTTAGATGTTGCTGATTGTACTTTATTATTTCCAACATCACTACTTAATGATAATTACCATATTAATGCCAACAAACGGGAATGTTGTTATGAATAAGTTTTTTGAAAGGACAGCATAAACCAGTCATTCAATGAGTAGGTAAGTATTTTAATATAGTGACAAAGATGTTCACAAAATGTAAGCTGCTGCTTACACTTTTGCAGGCCATGTCTAATTAGCAAAGAAAGGATTGGCACTGCTGAATTAATAACGTAATGTTGGTCAAAGTTTATTTTCTTTAATTATTTTTTTTTTTACATATTTTTAACATGAAGTTTGTTTAAATTGCAAGCAACAAATCTACTCTGGTTATCAATTTCCCTGTAAAGTCACTCACATATTACGTATAGTCGTAGGTGAACATCGTAATTTGTAGTTCATACGTAATCTTGCAATGTAAGTTAGCAATTTCAATACAGGTAATACAAACTACACAACAACGAGAACATTTATTTTTTGTAAGTATTAGCAGGCACTTGTGTTTTGGGCTAGTTTAGTAGCCAACGGTATAAGTTTGTTTATATCATTTCTCGGGCTAATAGAATACGACACGGGTGTGTACACCATGGTATGCGGATAATATGTTATTTAATGGACTTCAATCAATCATCAAAAGAATCATTTCAACTCACGCACGGCACATACTTCCAATATGCAGATATTATATTTATATGCCTTAGTGAAATGGATTCTAATGATTTGAAATAGTGATACATACCTCCACTTCTTTCTTTTTTTTTTTAACAAAGTTGAGTCGGAGCTGATAACCTCGACGACATTTCGAAATATTATTAATTCTACTCACGTTCTTTATCCTCGTCGCCATTTGTGGCGTTTACGCTACTTAGTATAGGGATAGCTCAATGAAACAACATGTGTTTACTTCACGTACACGTGCGATACGTCCGCTCACACCACTGTCTAGTGTCGTAGTGCGGGAACGGCGGGCCGCAGTGTAACTTATATTGTCTAATGTCTGTGGTACATTATGTGCATACACTACAATGTGGTCCATCTCTTACTTTCGCTTAGGTTAGACCCATGCTAGATGAGATTTTGGTAGAAATATTATATCGGGAAACAATATAATGCCACAAATCGTCGCCTTACATTCTCAAACTCGAATTTTAAAGCACAAAGATACTGAAATGCAAGAAATGGATTGCATATACAAATTTTGCAGGCCGATTTCACGTCAAATTTCCTTTATATTCACACACTGGCTTTTACTTATTCTTAAAATAATGCATTGAAATTAACACCCTTGATGACAAGTAGAAAGTTTTGTCATCTCCCGAACAATCAGTCTTTATAAGACGCGAGCTTGAGAAAGAAAGGCGTCGAAACATAAGCGACGCCCTTCGAGCCGAACGCCGCTCCGCAGGGCACCCTGAGGCGCCGCGCGCACCTGCGGCTGAGCAAGTTCTTCGAGTGCGCGTGCGCGCGCTGCGCCGACCGCACGGAGCTGGGCACGAGCGCCGGCGCCTTCCGCTGCCCCAAGTGCGGCGGGCGCGTGCTGGCCGGCGCGCCGCTGGACGCCGCCGCGGCCTGGGCCTGCGCCGCCGCCTGCGGCTACGCCATGCCGGCCCGGGCCGTGGAGATGCTGCTCAAGAGGTGACTCGCTTCGACCGCGGTCGGTCTGGTTGTAGCTCGGCCGACAAGAGCGGACGCCCCAACGGTAGCAGACGCTCGTTAGAGTCCGAGTCGTAACGTGACTTAAAAGGCGCGCTCGAATAATTTACAGACCTTCCAGAAACACTTCTTTTTAAATATAACTGATCAAATTCCAGAACGATTGAGCTAGGCAGATTGATTGTTTTCATGCAGATTCAATCTTTAGTTTATAAATGTCACAAAATCTTGAAATAATATTTTATTACAATACCAAAGAAAATAGAAAGCTTTTTCATGTAGATATATACAGTAAGGATGCATCCGCTGATGTGTCAAAGACCTGCATCAGCATGTGGAGTATTTTCACAAAAATATATATAAATATTGTAACACAGAGTTTAAGGCTTTCGTGGTTGACTGCAACATGACCATGGAGCGTGCAACCGTTCCAAAATATCGGGATAATAAAAAAAAGTCATACCGTCATAAGAAGCCTGAAATTAGTGATAATCATTTAAGTAATGTAATATTGGTTGACTTTCTAGACCGTTTCCAGGCAAAGAATTAACATATTTTTAGTATCACCCTGTGATTTCTACAGTCGACGCCTTCGATGCGAGCGATTAATTGTATAATACCTACCGAGAAACGCAATTTATTTATTTAATTACGTTTATTCTGTGTCTCTTTTAGGTTAACGGACGAGTACGAGGCGGTGGACGCGAGTGACGTCGTAGGCTTCGAGAGCTTTCTCCACAAGTACCGCAACGTGCTATACCCCTCGCATTACCTCTGCCTCTCGGCGAAGCACTCTCTGAGCCAGCTCTACGGGAAAGTTGAAAACTACATGATCCACGAGATGCCCGAGCAGGAGCTCAACCGGAAGATTGAAATTTGCAAAGATTTGATGAAGGTGTTCGATGTTATTGAGCCGGGATATTCCAGATTGCGAGGTGAGTTAAGAATGTTTAGGTAATTCGACCTCCGAAATGCGTCAAAACAAATAGAGATCATTGCCTGCAACTGCCTCCGTGACCGAACGGTTACCATGCTGGTCTGCCACGCAAAGGTCCCGGGTTCGATTCTCGGGCCCGGAGAAATACTCGTAGGAGAGAGCGGGGCTGAACGTTCCGATTTTCAAATAATTTGCAGTTTTATACTGAAAATGAAGGATTTGATTTTCAACATGTGGAAATGTTGAACAAATGTTTATCGCTTTTTGTAATAGTATAGTCACTTCTACTAATATCTCAATAGTCTTTTTCATAGAGGCAAATTTTTGACAAATTTCGGAGCGGAACATTCAGCCCCGCTTTGGGGCACGTTGTTCCGCCTTTGAGGCAAATTGTTCCGCCTAGATTATGACAGAATAAAAAAGATTTTCTTAAATAAAACCACCTATTTTATAATTGTAAGCATTTAATGTTTATATTATGCACAACTAACATAAAAAAAACAACTACATTCTTATTCATCAGTAATCATCAACGCTCATTTCTTCATCTGAATCACAGTTGAGGCACACATAAGTGACTCTATCATCTTGTCTAAATATTTGACACGAGCCTGTTTGTAGTTTGGCATCCTTAAAACAAAGAAAAATGGTCATAAAAATTTAGATTGTATGTAAGTATAATTGCAGGTCAATTGGGGAAGTTGTTCCTAGGAACAACCAACCCCGCAAGAGAGGAACTTATAGCCCCAAATTACGTTTTTATACGAATACTTTGCCGGCAAAGTAATAGAATCAATCAAAAAAATACTCAAACAATAAGATTCCTTACTAATGTCACTACAATTTAGAAAAGTTACGTATGAATCGGCCCATAATAAACAAAGACAGACCAAGAAATTTAAACAAGTAAAAATTTACTTCCGTGATATTTTTTGGAGTAACTGAAATGGCTGCCGACAAGACGCATCACCTGACGCTGTAACGACGCGCTTCACATGAAGTGCTACATATTTTCCTTGCAAAGTTATTGCTGTGAGAACAACTTACCCCGGGAACTACCAGCCCCGGACTCCCCTATTTGTATGCCCTACATTTATTTCTCTCGTGCATTTGGGTGTAATTTGTGGTGTTCTATCTATTTGTCCATGGCACCCGCGACACGGGGTTTCCCTAGTGCGGGGATATGAGTGTGTACGTTATTTATGTATTTATTTATCATTAAAAGCGTTGCAATCAGAATCTAAAAAAAAATGTGGCAACCAACGCGGGTAGTCGCACCATCATCATTCATTATAGAACTCAAACGTTCTACTATTTGATATAGTAGATGGGTTAATTGTTGTGTTCGAGAAAGTTTGAACAAGAGTCTTTCAAAATCAAGGTGTAACGGTAACGAATAAAAAAAGATAACGAAGTGTGTTGTTTTTGTTTTCAGGTGTTACACTATACGAGCTCCACGCGCCGTTAATGATTCTGACAACAAGGCAATTTGAGAAGAAAGC